AGCTAATTCTACTCCATAAAATCCTGTAGTTACCATATCTGATAACATAACTGCATCTTCATTTGATACCCCTGGTGGAACTATTGCTAAATTAGCATCAGCCTCATTAACATTAAAATACTCAGCAAAAACTCCATCCTTTATATTACCATATTTACACCCACTTAACATCCCATTAGAGTGTTGTGAAAATCCATCTTGAGCAGCAGAAGATCCCCAATCTGGTGTTACTGCAGGTACAATAACTTTATCTCCAACTTTAAGTGTTTTAACTAATGACCCAACTTTGACTATCTGCCCAACTGCTTCATGTCCAAGTGTTATATTCTTTCTTTGTCCTAATACTCCATCCCAAACAGTATGACAATCAGATGTACATGGAGTTAGTACTAATGGTCTACAAATAACATCTAATGGTCCACATTCTGGAATTGGTTTTTCTAACCAACCGATCTTATTGTTATCAAGAACGCATAAGCATTTCATTGTCTTCTCCTCACTCATCTGAGAATTTGAATTTATTTCAATTTTTCAGTATTTGCATTTATAGAAAAATTCTTTCTTATAATATTTTCTATTAAATTCGGTTTTTAAAAAAAGAATTACTTATTGTTTTTTTTTTTTAAAATAAATTGTTTTACATTCGTTATTATTTTCTTTTCCTGTTCTACAAAATATCATAATTCTCTCTTTGTTTCAAAGGAGAGTTGTTTACCAACAAGTTTTCAGTACAACTTTTTTCTACTTTTTTTATCTACTTCTTTATAAAAAAAGGTAATATGATAAATCAAAATAATAAAAAGATATTTAAATTAAAATTAGATTTATTTATTATTTATTAAAATATAAAAATATAAAATTAATATTAAAATATGAGTAATATAAACAGATAAATAAACATCTATTTATTAGATATTTTAAATGAGTTTAATATTCTTTACTATTTTTTATATTACATATAGATTCGGATAATCTCTAATTTATTATGATTTAATTGTTTATCCATATTTTTTTTATAAAAATTATGACGTTTATTTATTCTGAATGATAAGAGATGATATATATAATACTACAATTTATCTAAATAATAATAAATTAAATTATAACCATAAATTAAATAATCAAATTGAATAAAAGTTTAATATAAAATAAACATCCTTGGAAATAGTTAATTTAACGTTATCAACAAACTGATTAATACATAATAATCCATATGACTATATAATTAATGAAGTTTAATTACAATTAAACCAATCTTATAAACAATGTAACAATAAATTGTATTAAAGTGTCAATGTTTTAATCATCAATGATTAATATTAATTCAAAATATCTTTATTCTAATTTATATAAGTGAAATCATTTTTTTTACTAAAGCAATGTTTATTGAATAAAATTAAATAGTAATAATTTTATTCTAAAATTTAATTGTTAAAATATCTATAAGATATTATATTTTAAATGGATTTTACAGAGAAATCCATAAAAAAACTCGATATAAAATGATATCCTCTTTTTATTAATTACCACATCATTTGGTTTCTTTAAAGTTCCTGGATGTGAAGAGAATCCTGACGGAGAGTTTAGTGAAAGTGATTTTGATTTTGTACCTGAATTATCGACTGTTTCATTTATTATAGGATTAGTTATTATGATTGGTACTATTTTATCTGTAATACCTCAATATGTTAAATTGATTAGAACAAGAAACAGTAGTGGATTATCGCCGTTCTATCTTCTTATTCAGTTTATAAATCAAGTTACTACAGTAGCAAATGCATGTATAACAAATGCAACATATATTCATTCATGTGTTTATATTGGATTTAGCCAATGTTTTCCAGTGTTAGTTTCGTGGACACAGATAATATTATTGGCTATGGTATATCTTCCACAAATTTTTTTCTATTTATTATTTTATCCAAACAAGAAAGAGTTTGCATTATTTAAATTACCTTTAATATGTACTCCTATTATAATAATTATTTCTATTCTTTGTTTAGGAACAGTTCCACTTCTTGAACTTACTGATGGAGAATGTGGGAATATAACAGGAGGTTTTGCATTTGTATATGGGATTATTGCTGCTGTTTGTGTTATTATTCAATGGTCACCTCAAATATATATGACATTTAGAAGAAAAGTTTGTAAATTTTTAAGTTCTAACACGTATAATTCTCATTAAAACTAGGCTGCTGGAGCTTTAAGTATGCTTATGTTATCAATTGCAGGACCAGGAATGACTATATTGACATTATATATGATATTTATCACTAAACAACCATTTTCAACATGGTTAAGTAATGCAGCAAGTGCAGTTCAGCAACTCATATTATTATCATTGTTAGTGTATTATGAATTAATACTTCCAAGATTTAAACATAAAGATCAAGAAAAAACACCATTAGTTGAGAATGAACAACAACCAATAAATGATTATAAAAATAATCAAAGTCCAAATGATTTAATTGAATGATCAAAGAATCAATTTTATAAATAATGTTTTAATAAATAAAAAAAAATATTATTATTCAGCAATAACTGGAACAAAATTAATACTTGGTAATAAAGAATGTTCATAAAAATATTGTGATATTTGATCAATAATACTTGTTGATGGTTGATTTAATTGAAAACCTATATTAAATAAATTACCATTAATAATAATACCATCTGATTGAATATAATCAAATATTCCTACTAATGCATCATGATAAATTTTACCATTAGTTAATGCTTGTTTATTTAAATCAATTAATTTATAAGAACCATTAACATTTAATGTAATTATTTGAATTTTATGTTGAGAAGGTACTTCTTCATTAACAATATTTTTCTTTGATCTTCCTTCTATTATAGAAACTAATGGATTATTTTGAATAATTTGAATAATAGAATTAACTGTTTCATTTAAAATAAATTGTCGAATTATTCTTCTTTTGTTAAGACGATTTAAACCAATGTTTAATTGTTTTGCTTTTTCAAAGATACAATCTCTATTAAATACACACACTCCATTTTGGTCATATAATTGATATAATTGAATTGTTGTTAGTGTTTTAGTTTTATATTTTTTTGGTTTTTCAAGTAATAAAGTATATCCCATTGTTGAAAGAATAGCAAAATAAAGAGATTGAATCCCAATATTTTTATCAACACTTTTATATTTCATTTTCTTTAATAATTCTTTGTCTTTCTTTTCTCTAATATCTTGTATTTGAATTAGTTGTTTATCATTTCTTTTATTTTCTATTTCATTATTAACAATACCAATATTATTAGTATTCATTGTAGATTTTTTAAAGTATTATCAATCAATGAAAATTATATTTTTAAGTTCATTTTAGATAGGTTTAAGATGTTGTCAAAGTCTGGATGATGTTTTTTATTTCTTTTATTAAAATTTTATTTATTATAATTATTTATTAAATAATTTATTATTTTTGATATAGATAAATAATAATCGTAAAATTCAATAGATTTGTAGAAGATAATAAAATTTGAAAATAGTGTGTAGGTATTAAAAGAGAACGAGAACTTATAATGAATTAATCAATATTTACGCAAAGGGTTAGTACTTTATTTAGTTATTAAAATTAGATAAAAAATACCCTATGCAAGACAAATGTGTAGATCCTAATAAAGGAAGATTTTATCCCTTTCTTTTTATCTGTCTACAAACAAATAATATAAATAACACAGTTAATCTAATTGTTTTTTTTTTAATACTTGGTCATCAAGACTTTGGAGTTGGTGTTTTCTAAATTCTTCAAAATCATCATTTTCATTATCATCAAAATTAAGGAGAATTGATGCAGTAGTATCAACAAGTGTTGATTTTTCTTTATTGTGATTTATTTTTATTTGTTTTTGACTTAAAAATTTTAATACTGGAGTTTTTAATTGATCAGTATCATTATTGTCATCATCTGAAATTGTAACATGCTTATTC